AAAGGTTTTGATTTAAGTAGGTAGTCCCACATTTCACGGTAAAATTTTATTTAAACATGTAAAACTTGACGTTAAGATGTGATGAAGGCTCGATTTGTTTAACCTGGTTTAGAAACTCATTAATTTAATTTCAATTATTCTGAGTCATGTGATCTGATTAGTTGGGGCAGCAGTGGCCGAGTGAATAAGACGCTGGCTCACTTGCATGGGGGTTTCGGGTTCGTACCTGGTTTTGGTCGAGAAAGTTCCTCGGAGTTTTCGGCGTGGTTTTCCAATGTCAGTGGCGCAGGACAGGGGGGCACTGAAATCCGAGGCCTACGTGTACACATTAGCGTCTCGAAAAATAACCTTTGACAGTTGGAATTCGATATAAGAGTAGGCCGTAGCGCCGCTGTCCGGGCAATAGCACTGTATCAAAATTTTGGGAAGGACTAGCCGTTCACGTAAAACGACCACTTCGAATTTTATTTAATGTGATATACCAAATTCATTATTAACGGTACATATATTTTGGCTGTCAGAACTGGGCTAATAAAGACGGCTTATCAAAAGAAAGGCGACTATCCGTTTTGAACTATTTCCGAACCGTCCAAAAACTAGAATGTTTGTGTTTATCTTGCGTAAGGCATTTTGAAGCACATTTGCGACAACTACTCTAGAGCAATTTAAGCTTATGGCCGATTTTTAGCATCACTATAGAGTATTAAATGATAATGAGTAGATTTGTGTATGACTTTCTGGTCGTTTTCGTGTCTTTAATCCCCAAGCTTCGAAACCTGAATTGATAAGACAACTGAATTCTATAGGACTATAATTTTATGCAGATCGCCTGTTTTTAGTAATTAAACCCCCTATCCTTGTCTAGAGCTGCAGAGGAACGTTTTTAATTTATTTTTCTTTTCAGCCAGGTTTTGGTGAATATTCATGTTTTAAAGGCGGAAGGTTCCTAAAGTAACTAGACATGAATTAGGCAAATCAAGCACGCCACACCCTGGCCAATAAATAGCATTGATTAACATTGAAGTCAATGGTGGGGTGGAGGGGGACTTAATAGTCTTTGTATGTTTGAGTACACACTGGCGTTCGCGTAGAAGAGTAGTCGGGAACGATGCTGTCCGGGCAAAATTCTCATCATAGCACACTACATGGCGTGTGCCAGTTTTCATTTGGTGGAGAAAGTTAGGGTGTTAAACCCATTTCATTTCCCTCTTTAATCGATAGACTTTGTGACAGTATTGTGTCTTTATATCAGGTTCAGAGGACAAAGACTAGTTTAACATCTTATAATATTTTTATTCTCTGCTTCTTACATATCACTTACAAACATCGTAATGTTAAAGACACCCAGAACTAACTTGTATTGAGGTAGCCATGTCCTAGCTTGGCTACCTCGTTCCGTCTCGTCTCATTCCAAGACGCCCATGGCCTCCGTTCTCTGCCTCACCTCAACCTGACTCCCGATGTCGTTTCCCTTCTGGGTTTATAAACCCTTCAAGACATCTGGCTAATGTATCATATCAGGTTTAACATTCAGTAGAGTTTGCTTATCAGACAAAGACAGTTAAATAAAACATGCCAATAACATGTTAAGGTTCCATAATGACATAAGGAATGATTGAAACGTAAACTCGTTTCTGAATCACGAGTTAAATATTAGATCCCTACGTCATCATTTGACCACACATTGAATTAATATTATCAACAAACAAAATGACAGACAATGAGATTTAAAGGACTTCATTTCATGACGTCTAAATATTGTATTACATGTACAATGAACACAGATAGTGACATCAATATGTAAACAACAATAAAATGAGGTTAGGGAAAATTTACAATTAGACTACACATTACCTAGACAGTCGAATGGTGCAACGAATTTATCTTTTTTTCTAGACGTTCTAATCGTTCTGAGTACACTGTCTATTGGGTTAATCAGGTCACTCTTATAAACAATTCTAGTTATATGACATCTATAAACTGACCCGAGAAGTAAGGCGCTGGCTCACTCACCAGGAGGTCCGGTGTTCGATCCAGCGCGGTTTCCACTTGCCAGTAGTGCAGGACGGGGGGCTTGGCGAGGACAAGGGCAAGTCGTACTCATTGATAAAAGAACGCTTGTCAGTTAAAATTCGATAAAAGAGTAGTCTATAGCGCCACTGTCCGGGTGCAATTTCCCCGATAGCACACTTTATTAGTCCAGTCGGTGTAGAACAGTAAGACGTTAAACCTCATTTAAACATGCATTATACAAGGGCTAAATCTGCTTATCGCAGGTCTTTCTTTAGGCCTGAAATCTTATCTAAATTATTAATTAGACATTAATTAACTTATCCAGACCATAATCAACTCTCAATGTCAAGGCTAGCCTTCGATATCGACTGGATTAGAATCATATACGCTGCAAACGCTCATTGATAATAACAATGAATAATCGAGACTATGCTTTTTAACGTACTAACTTTAGTAATGATGAACGAGGCTAGGCGGAAATTTACAAAGCTGATATCTCAGTTCATAGTGAACCAATTTGACTGAAATTTTCAACAAATTACCTTTACATTATATAGTTTTTAACTATTATATCTTTAATAAACTGTTTTGACTAAATGGTTGAATAGTTTGAGCTGGAACTTTCATACGAGGTAAATTACAGGCAGTTGTTCACAGTTTGGCCTTTGATTGGCATACTTAAACTTTTGTTTTTCGGAGACCGGTTGATATCTGGTAAGGCATGAAGTTCGGCATATACCAGCGCATGGACGATAATATCACGTGATACCGTAAATAAAATGAAAAGAAAAAAAACTAATAACTCACGACCACGCATTGATTTATAATACTTGTCAATGTATTCCCAAAAATGAGCGAAAATAAAAATTCAGAAAATCTATAGTTACTATTATTTATATATTACTTGCCATGTTTATTTACTAAACCGTAAAATGTGTCGCACGTGATTCATCAAAGAATGCCATTGATATTTGATCTTTTTATCTTAAGAAATAAGTAAGTGAAAAATAACATATTTTTCGCGTTGAAATAACAACATTATCGACTGATGGATTGAGTTTAATTTGTTTTTTTTAAATTTTATTTGCCCTACGAAATCAGACAAGAATTATATGTACCCTTTTGTGGAAACCTGTTCACGCTGTCTGTAGTATTTTTCAGCACATACGGGCCAGAGATTTCATCAAAATGTTCTGAAAATTTCAGAAAAAATGTATTTTGATAAGACGAGTATCCCTATATTCGGCAAAATCGGATTAATATGTATCCCCCTTTTTGACCCAAAACAATTGTCTAGACCACTCGTTATCATGATCAGAGAGCGAGAAATGGTGTTTAACGTCCACTCCACACAAACTAGGTCATTTTGAGACTAACATATGCTTCAATTTTATATCAATAATTCGCTTGAGTATAGGGGTCTTTTGCAGTGGGAGAAGAAACCAGGGGACCTGAAGAAAACCCACGAGGTTGGAAGGCGACCCTACTGCCTGTTACGTACAACCGAGGAATCGAAACCACGCCAGTTGATTGAATGACATACCTTATGATTCAACGCGCACACGCGCTAACCATTCGCCATCCACACACCCACCCCCTACAATGATCAAGGTCGCAGTTATCAGAATGTTCCTGAAACTTTTATTCTTTTTTTTTTTGGGGGGGGGGGAAAGAAGGGGGTCAAAACATTATTACCCTTTCGATATTCGGCGTTCCGCGTCGGGGTTATTTTTTTTTTTTTTTTGGAGGTCGTAGGGATGGGGGTAGGAACTTTTCCGGAAAGCTTGTGAACGCGTTTGAGGCTGCAGGTTTTAATTTTAACAGATATTTTTCAATTTCAAGATTAGATTTCTTGAAGGCTTGTTGTCTCAAAGAATAATATTTAAACATACATTATGCAAGAGCTAAATCTGATTATTGCAAGTCTTTATTTAGGCTTCAGATGTCATAGAAATTATAAATTAGATCTTTATTTACACAATAAGCACAAAATCAACTCTGTAGACCCACGGATGGCTTTAAACAGGATTTCATTGATTGATTAAATTTTTACATGGCGTCGTAAGCGGAGATTAACCGTTACGTTGACGTCATACTCCCGGAAATTTTAGATCAGGCTATATGATAGAGTGTACGAAGCGAGGCCGCTGTGGAGCGAGGCCGCATGTCAGTCAATTTGATTGAAAGTTCGATATATCCGGCCTTGATATTATATTTAGTTGTGGTTAAAATGAGAGTTTGGATGTCGGTATTATACGCTCTTTTGTCACTTGCGTTTACAGAAAAATTATGGAAATTGATAAACATCGCAGCTAACATCACCCCAGTTGAATTGCAGCCCCATTTGGATCACTGTTTCCTATAGTATTTGTCTGCTTCGGGAGTTACATGGGCCAACCAGTTACAGTACAAGAGTACACGCAGGCTAACAAGAAGTCGGCTATAATTATGCCCCATTGATTTGGTCCATTTCTTTCAAACTTTCGCTTCTTATCTATATATTAAAAGTCTTATTTTTAATTTGTAGTAAAAATAAATGTGATGCAAATTGAATTGCAACCCGGTCTCAAACCGAATAGGCTAACGGTACCACATCCATTGAAAACGTTACTTGATAATCGAGATTATGTGGTGGAGTTAACGCCTGTCAATCAAACGATCGGCCATTCTCGGAGACCGTGAAGAGAGAGTTGACCCCTATTTCTAGTCAAAAATTACAATGGTGATAACTTTGTTCAGAATAAAGTAATTAGACTGAAATTTTCAATGTATTCTTCTTTGATCATCTATTTTTGAACTGTTAGTAAGAATGGCCAACTCTCTAGTAAAATCACCCATAATGTATCTTTAAGAGAAAAAGTTTTGAATTTGACGATAAAATCGTGAAGCAAGGATGACGGGATTAAAATGGTCAAACCCGTTATATGAGACAAATAAATAAATATAAATAAAATAACAATCTTGGTATTTGATATATTGGTATTTTCTTGTACGTTTTCTAAACATCCGATGGTTGGATTGTGTTAATTTTATTGAGAATTTTTAAATGGTGGTGGACAGGAGAGATCTGTACAGTTACCTCCAGTTAAAACATCAAAAAACTGAAAACAACAATTATCATACTTCTTCTGTACACAGTCTTTAATTACCATTACACCAGCAGCATGGCCAACTCTGTTTTTTAAACAAAAAAGCAAGTAACAATAAGCACTCCTTCATGACAGAGAGAGAGAGAGAGAGAGAGCGAGAGAGAGAGAGAGAGATGGCGTTTATTAAAGTCTACTCGACACAAACTTGGTCTTTTCGGGACCAACTTTATTTCAATAACTCGCTTGCACGTACAGGTCTTTAGCCGTAAGAGGCAAATGGAGGACCGGGAGAAACCTCACGAAACACGACACATAGATAGCACATCTTATTCGCTGAAAGGGTATAAAATTGAAATGCATTAGTGTGCATTAGTCCCGTGAACTTGAAAATAGTTTATTCGTGTTCCGTGCCCCCCCCCCACCAAAAAAGCCCTGAAACGACATATTACACGTACATATTGTTATTGGTCTTCGCGCCAATTGTTGACGCCATTTTGGATTTTGGTCGCTATATTGGATCAAACGTTTGTGGGATGAATTAGAAACTATCACAAATGAGTCAAGCAACCAACAAAACATATAAAATGACATATTACATGGGTAATTTCGTCAAACTCTGTTTCAGACCATTTTTGACCGCTATTTTGGATTTTCAGCTCTCCCGAAGTTAGCCCGTCGTTTTCAGAGGTAGCAATCTAAATATATCTTCACTAATGTCCCTTCTACCAGAACCACCAGCAAACCTTGTTTCATGAGAAATGGTCACGTTTCTGAGGGTTGTGTCCAGACTATGTGGAGACGAACTTCAGTATGGTGAGATTCGAAATAGTTGCGTCGTCCTTTACAGTTTATGTCAATATTAAAAAATGATGCGAACTTGGAAGTTAAAGTTAAAAGGGTTTCAGAAATAAAATATAATATGACATACCCACAGCATTGCATTCCGTATTTTCCACAATGACATTGAAAACAATTATCTGTCCTATAACTTTCGCCCACTTCTAATTCCTTATCGGCCTGTGTACAAAACTGTTTTACGACACCATTCACTATAAGTTAATCATACCATGAAACAAAAACATAGCAGAATAATTTATTAGATAGTTATGTGAGACTAGATTGACAAAAATCGACCAAGATAGATCTTGCTTTCACCTCTTCTGTTTGCTGAATCACTTTTTTTTTAGGAGAGATTCCCTTTTGATGTTATATTCGGCCATACGGTCTCATGTCTGAATGACGGAGAAGGTTTGTATACCGCTGTTAACCAAACACTATGACTAGAGGCGCTCTAGGTCTTAATTTGAGGTTCTCCGTTGTCACACCTTGCTTAATAGTATACGTATGTTCGTAAAAATATCCGACTTACTGAGGATACAGATGATTAAAGTGATAAAAAAGGTAGTTTACCAATTTTATGTTTAGGCAGATCTCTATAACAAGATGAGTGTGTGCTGTGAATCCAGACAGCAACCAAGAAGAAACCTATAACAGCTCGTAATGCCTTCATTTTCTGTAAAAATTAAATTACATAAGCATTATTTGTAGTTTGAAAACGTGATAGTACAGCGTTGAAAACGTACCAGCATGTTGAGCTGAATAGTTAAAGGTCAATGATTTGATCATTTGACAGTGGTAAGTGACCATGTTTGTGTTCTTTCCAACATAGGTATGGTACTTACGGCAGAATTGTTTACCTAGATCCACTGAAATTCACCATAATTTCAAATTCCAATCTTATCGTGGATTCTTTTGGTTCGCTAATTATGTCATTTTCCGTTAAATATTCATTTATATCACGTTATGTACAACCCTGTTATACTTACAGTTACCTGTGATGTTAATCTGTTTTAACAAAACTCACTGTCATATCAAAATCCTGATAAGATCTGTCACAAGAAATATTTCTTTATGGTTTAAATACAGATAAGATAATGCTTGTTTACTGTGACAATAAACATTTTGCTCTTTCGAAGATCTGAAGACAGTTTTTGTTATCTACAATCTGATTAAAATACCTGGGCCCGGTTCCTAGAAAATTCTTAAAGTAAGCACAAAGTCATGCTTCACTTTTTCTTACGTAAGAAACTTATAAAAATACCGTCCCTAGAAAATTCTCAAGACCATTCTTACGAAAGCACAAGTAAAGTATAAGTCTAAGCACATTGTGACTGGTAAAGTTTACCATAAACTGAGACTACGATGCTGCTTAACGTCATAAAAACAACTTTGGTATGCGAATTACGTCTTAAATTTGTCGTCTGCTTCATTGACGTCATATATATGGTTCATTTCGATGCATTTGACATGTCCCCTATTCAGATATAAGATGTGCCACAAGATAAAAAACGCAGACATATACAAACTAACTGAATAATTGTGAGAGCGCCTGATCTTAAAGTAGCCTGTGTGTTTGTTGCCTATTGTTTACTAATTGGCAAATAAATAAAATGGTTTCAGGGTAAGCCTAGAAGCGAAATTTTCTATAGGCCTAGCATTCTTAATTTGAAATTCCTTCTGGAGAAGGATTTTCTCTGTCTTGTAATTGTCTCTTTGTTATCAAAAGGTGTCGGAAATGGAAATGCCGTCGAATAGGCTAACTCTACTATTCGTGAGAGAAAAGCGAGATTTCAAGACGTATAGTTTAATTTTGTTCAAATTAGTTCTACACTAGTAAGTACACAACACAGTTTACACATTTAGAGAAATACACTAAAAAAGTAATTATGGATATGAAATTCACTGAACATAATAATGCAGGTATTGTCACTGGCATAAATAAATACTGTGTCCTTCACATCATAATTGTCCTTGTTTAATTTGTTTTTCTCGGTGAATTCATGTAGGAAAGTTCACCTTTACTGTTTAGTTCAGTTTGTTTATGATTTTTACACGAGGAAGTTTTCTAGAAAAGCACCGGAAGTTGTAATACTAAAAGGGAGATAAACTGTGGATAATTTGTGGATCAAGACCACAGCGATAATCAATAAGCTACAAGGCCTTAAAGAGAGTAAACACGAACATCGCCACCCCCCTGACAGAGTCAAACAAGTAGTTAAACTGAAATAGGACTATAAAGATTAATTAAGATTAAGGAATATTTGATATTCAAATGTTCTTTGAAGTATCAGAGAATTCGAGTCTTTAGATGTTTTCTTCTAACAAACAGATCTTTGCAGCGGGACGGATGTAAATTCCATGGGCTGTTCCGACTTTCACAGTTCGTATACGACCATCCTCTCCTGGGTAAACAGCGGTGATACGACCAAGTGGCCAACTACCACGAGGTTGGTTGTCTTCGACCATAAGAACCAAATCATTAACATGTAGGTTTGGTTTTTCCTTTGTCCATCGATGGCGTAAGGTAAGATTTGGTAGGTATTCCTTAAGGAAACGCTTTGATACATGGTTAGCAAGCACCTGTACTTGTTTCCAGCGTTTTCTGCTGTTGATTTCTTTGTCGTGTACAACAGCTGGTGAGAAGGTTGTTTCTGCTCTTCCGATCAAGAAATGATTTGGCGTGAGAGCTGTAAAGTCATTAGGATCGGAACTGTTATGCGTCAAAGGACGGCTATTCAGCACAGCTTCTACTTCGATAAGTGATGTTCGAAGTACAGACTCAGAAACATTGAGGTTACCAATAACTGCTTGGAGAGCTGTTTTGGTTGAGCGTACAAGTCTTTCCCAGGCACCTCCAAAATGTGGACTTAATGGAGGGTTGAAATGCCATTCGATCCCTATTGGTGCTAGAAAATTGGTGACTTGTTGTTTGTTCAATTCGTTTAAGGCTAACTTCAGTTCATTGTTCGCCCCGACAAAGTTTGTGCCATTGTCACTGTAAATATGTTTAGGGTGTCCACGGCGACCAATGAAATTACGTAGAACTAAGATGAAATCATCTGTTTCAAGGGAGTCTGCAACTTCAAGATGAACTGCTCGGTAGGTCATACATGTAAAGATGCATCCCCAGCGTTTGACATTACTGCGACGAACTTTAACGAGCATCGGACCAAAATAATCAATACCAGTATGATGGAATGGACCAGTCATACAATCGATTCTGCAGCTGGGAAGATCAGCCATTCTTGGTACCATCGGTGAGCTGCGTCGACGCTTGCAGTAGAAACAGTTGTTGATTACAGTTTTGGTAGCACGTCGAGCAGATATAGGCCAATATTGCTGTCTCGTATGAGCTATTACGTGTTCTACTCCACCATGGGCAGTTTTGATATGAGCGTCATGGAGCAGTAGATTGGTGACATTGTGTCCATGAGGTAAAATTAGCTGATGCTTTGTTTCGAGTGGTTCTTTCGATCTGGATAGTCTACCACCAACTCGTAGATGAGTTCCATCATAGAGAGGTGTTAATGGTAGTAGAGAACTATTGTGTGGAAGTTCTTGATGATCGTCAAGACATGCGATCTCTTTAGGAAATTCGTCTTCTTGAGCTTGTCGAATCCAGCATCGTGAAGCGTGTTCATATTCCTTTGGTAGTAGATTGTCGTTTCTTATGGGAATAAGATTCAATCGTTTGATTGGAACAAGAAAATTCCGGATAGCTCGAAGTAGCCATGCTGTTCTTCGAGTGAGTTTTATCCACGTTGAGAAATTTTTAGCTTCTAATATATTTCCAACTTGAACTATAGGAAGAGTGTCCTTTGGAAGATTATTCTCTTTGGTGGTTGTAAACATGACTGAAGATCCTTTGATCTCAGGATCATTAACTGGGACTTCATCATGTTGTGTTTGTTGACTTGGCCAAAACTCTTCACGACGATGAAGATAATCTGGTCCGTTGAACCAAGGATGGTCCAACCGTAGTTTCGATGCAGGTAACCCACAAGAACAGAAATCTGCAGGATTATCCTTTGAGGGTACAAAACGCCATTGGTAATTTTCAGTTGACTCCTGAATCTCTGCTATCCTATTTGAGACAAATGGTTTGAAACGCCTCGTATGGTTGTTGAGGTATTGAAGTACTGTTGAGGAATCAGTCCAGAATATGACCTTTGTAAGTGGTAAAAACAATACATCCTTCAGCAAACACCAAAGTCGCACTGCAAGAACTGCCGCTTGAAGTTCGAGTCTGGGAATTGATAATGCAGGTTTGATTGGTGCTACTCTAGTTTTAGATGCCAGGAATGAGCAGATTATGTCTCCGGACATATTTGAGTATCGTAAATATGCCACACTTCCGAAGGCCTTTTCTGAGGCATCTGCATATATGTGCATTTCAACCAAGCGGACGTCTGAAGAGAAGTTAAGATGGTGACGGTTTAACTTGAATGATGAAAGATCTTGCAGTTCACGTACCCACGAACTCCATTTGTCATCAATATCTGGAGGAAGTGGATCATCCCAGTCATTATTAGATCTCCAAATATCTTGTATGATGATTTTAGCTCTTAGTGTGAATGGGGAGAGATATCCACATGGGTCAAAGATTGAGCTAACGATGCTAACAATCCCTCTTTTGGTAGTGGGTGTAACCTTTGGTTGTGGATTAAAGATGAAGATGTCTTGTGACACATCCCATTTTAGGCCAAGGGCTCGTTGTAAGGGTATGTCATCTAAATCAAGATTAAGGGTAGTGATTGCTCGTTCCGATTCAGGAATGGAGTCGAGTACATCGGTCGAACTAGACATCCACTTGTGGAGGTGGAATCCGCCAAGTTTCAGTAGCTCAGTTACTTCCTGGTAGATGCGAATAGCTTCTTCGGTCGTTTCTACTGACTTTAGTAGGTCGTCTACATAGAAGTCTTGAAGAGTAGTGTCAATAGCTTGCTTACTAAATTTATGTTTATTATCAGTAGCAGTTCGTCTCATAGCATAATTCGCACAGGCTGGTGAATCGGCTGCTCCGAATATATGCACATTCATTTTGTAAGCATCAGGTGGACCAGGTTTTGATATATCAGTCTTCCACAGGAACCGAAGAGATTGGGCATCTTTGTCAGGAACTAATACTTGATAGAACATCGCCTCAACGTCACCAACGATGGCGACACTATATAACCGGAACCTTTGTAGAACTCCAAAGAGGTTGTTAAGGAGATCCGGTCCGGACATGAGGTTATCATTAAGTGATGTCCCGTTGTAAGTAGCAGATGCATCGAAGACTGGGCGTACTTTGCCTGGTTTATTTGGGTTGATGACACCGTGATGAGGTATATACCAAGTGAGAGGAGAGGTAATAGATACATCTTCATTGGTAAGCTTCTGTGCGTATCCATTTTCTACATAACTGTTTAAGGTCTTGCTGTACAAATTGTTTAGGTTATCATCACGAGCTAGACGCTTTGCTAATAACTGAAAACGTCTTTCTGCCATTGGGTAGTTGTTCGGAAGTTTAGTTTTAGGGTTTTTCCATAGCATGGGAACTTCATAATGACCGTTGACTATACGTGTATTCTGATCCATCAAAAGAGATGCCTTCCGATCTTCAGACGATAAAGCAATTTTATCATTGTGGGAAATACCAAAGGACTCTGTTCTCCAGAAGTGAGTCATCTGCTCGTCCATACTGCAACTGCGAGTTATGAGGTTAACGTTCACTGTTGGATCTGTAGGATTATCCCCGGCCACCCCCATGAGAGACCATCCCAAGGTAGTGCGAATGGCTATGGGTTGATCAGTGTCCCCGGATCTAGATTCGAGTTGAAGATGAGCTTCTGGGATATTGGCTCCTATTAGTAGTTTTACTTCTTCTTGCATGACATTCAAAAGTCCAAGTCCGGTGAGATGTTTCCACTCCGGATTAATTATCTGTGGTGAGCATTTAAATATATCAGTTGAAACCATCCAGGCCTCATTTACCTTAATTAGACTACCAAGCGCATCATCAGCTGATTTGAGCGAGAATGATACCGTAGATGATTGTTGTGATGTTTCACCATTGATAGTCTGAATAGTTAGCAACTTGCGTTTACCTTTAAGTCC